CTACGCTTTCTACACGGGCTACTGGGTATCTATTCCCGTGCTCATCTTGAGTGTGATGAGGAAGCTATTTGACGAGTATATTAGCAAGGAAACGCCCGGACGGGCTAAGTCTCTCCCATTCAGCCACCTCATCACCCAGATTTTTATCGACCAGCGCTACCCTATTCCTCCTCGGGAGCACCCTGAGAGAGGATCCTGTCACTTCTTGAAGAAGGACTAGAATAAGAGCTACAATGCCATCATTACTAGACTGCAGGACCACGCGGTAGTGGCTGCAGAGAAGCTAGAGAAGGAGGAGGCAGAAGCAGCAGCTCAGGCAGCAGCAGCAGATCCCGCAGCGGATGACGCACCAGCAGATCCAGCTACCGAGCATATAGACATCGATTTAAAGTGCCCTGCAGACGCTACAGAGCAGCACTCTCTAGCTGGGTCGCCCATTCACGAGCAGGAGCAGACTCATGAGTTTTCTTCTGATTCATCTATGAGGCTCCAGATCTGACCCCCGGTTTTGGAGTACGCCTGCAGACTCTTAAGGATGCTGTTGTTGCTATATGAGCTGATCTTACGGCCCACAGATGTCGCGACTATGTTCCGAGATCTATCCAGAGATATCCACGGAGCCCGACCTGCCCATCCTACCTCATCGTCCTGAGTTCCCAGTTCCTTCTATCTTTTGATCCATCTCTGCTCTCTGATCTCTATTTTTGTCACTGTACAGTACTATTATTTTTGCAGCCGGTCTGCCGGCTTTGATATTTCTGTTGTACCTGCACTTTATCTATTTTATATATCTGTTTTTGCTATGGATGTCATATGATTATATTCTCATATCTGTATGTTTGACTCCATCAGGTGCATCACAGTGACTTCAGTGAGAGAGTGCTACCCAATTTTCAGGACCACCCTTATACCTCTCTCATCTCTTTATTTGTTTATCCAATTTACACTTGCATGTCCACTGTGCACTAATTATCTCATGTTGTTATATGATGAGTTTATCCAAGTGCCAATTTTCAGGACCACAGTTTATCCCAAGTTTGGGGGGGTCATGCCACCCACTTTGGATACTTCAGTCCCGATCATTCTTGCTTAGTTGCACTGGTATACTCTTTCCCTTATTCTCTTGCATATTGAGGACATTGTGTCATTTAAGTTTGGGGGGAATGGTGCTTTGTAGTGATAGCTTTAAATTTCAAGATTTTGAGCATGACTTGTGTATTTGAGGGATTTTTCTATGATTGGTCCATATCTAGTTATGATTTTGATCTTTTAAGAACTATATTGCTTAGAATTTAAAAATTGCTTGACTTGAGAGTTCAATACTCCTTGTATGCCTTGTGGTTATGGATGCCATTCAGGAGTAATTTTTTTTGAAAAATTGATATCTTGTTTGCACTTGTGGTCCACATCGTCTTGATTTTATGATTGTTTTGAGGTTCACTCTAGTATTCTACACTAGCACAGGCGCACACAAGCATTCATTTGTGGGGTATATGTTTTATTGATTATTGAATTGGTTATATTCCAATTGAGCTAGTTGTGCATTGAAAACTTTCATTCTTGATAAAGGTGGATAACAACCCCTTTTCACTAAGTAGCCGGGATTCTAGCCTCATCAAACACTGAACTTCTCGCGCCGAAAGGTGGAGACCCCAAACTCTAGGTTAGTAATTGAAAATAAAAAAAAGTGAATATAAAAAAAAAAAAAAAAAAAAAAAAAAAAAAAAAAAAAAAAAAAGAAGAAGTTCAAAAGCAATAAAAAAGTGAGTACTTCTCCCAAAAGGTGAGAAGTGAGAAATAATTATATGGTTGTTATCTTGATTTGTAGCCTAGTTGATTTGAGCTTGTAAGTCCGTAGGGGTATTTGAATGCCTAATACCCTAAAGCCATCTGGTTTGGGAGTCATTGACCTAACGCTCGATATCATGAATTGCTAGAAAGCTTAATAGATCAACACATTGCACCATGCTTCCATCTTTGATCGTATAAAAAAAAAATCGAGTGAAAAGAATAAGCGAATCTAAATGAATAAAGTTTTAATAAAAGGTATACTTTTTGTCTTGATGATCGGTACTAGATTTGTGTGCTAGTTTGAGGGTAAGGATGTGATTAATTCTTTAGTTGGCTAAGATAGTAACATTTTCGATGCCGGTCCACTCAAAAGGATTCTAGAGTTGTTTTGATTTGCATGATCATTTTCTTGATGTGTGGAGGACCATACTTGCTTGCTTGATGTTGAGATTTTGGGAGATTGCTCGAAAATGTTTGAAAAATTGCATATTTGAGGTAGTTTTCTCCCAATGCTTGTTTGCAATATTGGTACCTCTTTTGAAAGAATGAGCTTAATGTTTGTGGGTACCATTTCTGGAAACCCTCACAAGACTTCACTCGTCCACTAGGGGTAACCTAGGGGTTTAAAAAGCTTGTTGCATATGCTAAGTGCAATCGTGTTCCCTACGAAAGTGGCGTTATCAATTTATTGTTTTCTAGATTCATACTTGTATAGTTATTCATTTCATTCATTTACTTTCTAGTTCATCGCTAGGGATTAGCAATATTTAAGTTTGGCAGTGAGATGAGCGCTGAAAAGTGCGTATTTAAACCCCTTAAGCTTAGGTATTCTAGTACCTTTATCTATCTTACTTTACCGTTTTAGATTGATTTCAAATTATTTCCATTTTCAGGCACTTATCCCGAAAATAAGCTAATTCAGCCAAATAAGAGCTTAATTGAAGCAATTCTGGGATTAAACAGAAAAAGGAGCAAAGTGGAGAAAAAAAGAAGCAAATGAAGCTAAAGGTGGGAAGCAGTAAAGTTCGATCGATCCAAGTCCAAGGTTCGATCGATCGAACACTGATCGATCTCAGTACTTCAGGATAGATACAAACCTTGACCTAAAGCAGGAAGTCCAAAGTTCGATCGATCCAACACCACCCTTCGATCGATCGAACACGTTTGTCCTTATTCAAATGATTGATCTTATCCACAGCTGTACCACCCTACCAACCACTTTTGTCCAAAAATATCTCCCAAAATATCTCGGATTTGTCTTTTCCCAAAAAGCTCAACCAGTTGGATCGATCTAGCCTCAGTTTGATAGATCTCAGCCAAGTTCGATTGATCCAAGTCCAAGGTTCGATCGATCGAACTTTCTCGAGTGCGAAAAAATCAAAAAGCCAGCTTGTTCAATCCGTCCTTTATCCAATCATTAAAGAATATTCTTTGCACGACCCCAGCTCATTTGGTGTGTCACTTGACCTACCTATAAAAGGAATATGATGCACTTTTTGAGATACAGACAATTCTAGGGATTATTCTCAAAGGAGGCAAGCTTAGAGAAGGAGGAGGCTAGAGACACCATTGGAGTTCTTCATTAACAAGGAGCAGATTTCTTCTATAGAGTTAGCCCTTGAGGGTTGGAGCAACATCACCACGAGTGGCTAGACATCCTCTTGGGGCTAGAGTTAGCCCCAAACATGCTTTCTATATCTTAATCTTGTGTATTATTGAGGGATTAGTGTTGTAATTAATGTTTTGACACTTTGATATATATAGATCTTGATTGTTCAATGATTTATGTGGTTAAATGCTTTCAATTGATCATTTCATTCTATCCATATGTCTATGTATGTTAGAATAGATGTTCATGTGCTTGTCTCTATTTTTTGTGTTATTGATGCATGTCTATGTGTATTGATACTTTAGATTTAGAGATTGTCAAAACATAGTGCTTAATGGAATGCTCTTGTGATTTTCTTGATGGTTCATACTCATTCCTTGATGGATTATGCCTCTCCCTTAGTTTATTTTCATGTTAGTAGTGTAGTTGTAGTGTAGTGTTAAATGGGAGGACAATCCATACTTGTTGTTTGATGATCCATGCTTTTGAATTTAAGTAGCATATGTCTCTAACCTTATGTTGTATTTGGATTGTGAGCTTAATGAAAGGATTAATAACTTGTTTTGATCTATTGTGCCTTTCACATGTTGTTTAGACAATATATTCTTCATTGCTTAGATATATTGTGCCTTTCACATGATGTTTAGACAATACATGTTTAACTAGTCATCCTTACTTGTTGAATCAACCAAACACACACACACACAACACACACCAATATTGCAACACACCATTTGCCCTCATTAGTCACTTGTTAATAGTATAGAAACGCATTGCTTGGTGGTGATCTCTAAACCCCAAGACTCTTTTCTATCTTATTTACTCTTAATTACATTCTTTTGTTATCACTTACTTTAATTTAGTTGCTCTCTAGTCTAATCAACCAACCAACCAATTGTTTGATCACTCGACCTACTAGCCCTAATAGCGATTCCACAACCTTATTCAACCCTCACAATCCCTTGGGACGATCCCTACTCACCCTAGCTATATTTATAGTGAAAGGTAGTAGTGGCTTTTATAAATGTAAAACTCTTGGCCCTCGCCTAAAATTAATACTCTCAAACTTGATGGTAGGACGACGAGACCACCACAAGACATATGTCTTCTCCATTTATATTACAACTAGTCAAATCCATTCCTATTCATTCAAATTTCTTTATCAGAAAAGAAACTTTTATAACAAAATAAACTTTAATACAAATTAGAGTATAAAAACTTTAGTACAAAGAAAATAAGAACATAGTAGACAGAATATGAAAAGAAAATAAGATTAATTGGTGTGAACATTTTCATCACCAATCAGGAAGTTTATCCTTTCATCACGGTCCTCAAAAAAATCTGATACATCCAGATTTGTGATGTTAACTGGCTCATCATGATTAATGAAATTTATTTCCAGATTTGTGGTGTCAACTGGCTCATCATGCTCAAGGAAATTCATTTCCTTTTGTTTTCCTTTTTCTTTCATTGAGGGTTAGTAAAATTCAGCCAGATGCTTAGGTGTACGACAAATACTTTGCCAATGCCCTATCATGCCACACCAATAACAAGTATTATCGTGTGCCTTGGAAGGTTGAGCCACATCCTTCCCTTTTCCCTATTTCATTTCATGATGATCTCTCCTTTGAGGATATGGTGTGGATCTCTGATTGCGAAAATGTGAGGATTGATATCCTTCACAATAATAAGAATGATTTCTAGCATGACCATATTCATTATTGTGGTAGTTATTTTTGCCACGACCATATTCATTTCTACCACCACGACCACGTCCGCGTCCGCGTCTACGACCACAGGATGAGGCAACATATGTTTCAGGGATCGGTGTCGATCCAGTTGGACGGGACTGGTGGTTTCTAAACAAAAGCTCATTATTTTGCTCTGCCATAAGCAAACATGATATCAGCTCTGAATATTTTTTAAATCTACGCTCTCGATATTGTTGTTGCAAGAGTACATTCGAGGCGTGAAATGCGGTGAATGTTTTTTTAAGCAAAAGTTCATCAGTAACAGTATCACCACATAATTTCAATGTAGAGTTGATTTTGAATAGAGCAGAGTTATATTCAGCCACAGTTTTAAAATCTTGCAACCTTAGTTGCAGCCAATCAGCCCTGGCCTTTGGGAGGATGATTGTTTTTTGATGATTATATATTTCTTTCAAATTATTCCACAAACAAAGTGGATCTCTTTCAGTGAGGTATTCAGTTTTCAGTTCCTCACTAATATGGCGCCGGAGGAAAATCATGGCATTTGCTTTATCTTGCAATGATGCATCATTGTCTTCTTTAATTGTGTCTCCAAGGTTCATGGCATCCAAATGGATCTGAGCATCCAGAATCCATGATAAATAATTTTTGCCAGAAATATCCAGGGCCACGAATTTCAGTTTTGTCAAGTTTAACATTTTTAGAATAACTAGATATAACAATATAAAAATATAATTTAGCATAGTATATAAATAAACTGGCATTAAATGAAATAATAACATAATATAAATTATTTAAATAACAAAGATGGTAAATCCAGCCATAGTAAATAAATTATGAAACAATAAAGGCGGTAAAACCAGCCATAAAACATTAAATAATAAAGGTGGTAAGACTGACCATAATTAGTGGATCAGTAAATAATAAAGGTGGTAGAACCAACCATAGTGTAAGCACATATATCATTTAAGTGAACAACTTTATTTTATGAACAATAATCCATAATTAAAATTTCCTTACCCTTTGGAGTCAGAAATACAATTTTCTTTGATAAAGCAAACCAACCCAACAATCTATCAAAACTAATATCACAAAATAGATAAAGAGTTAGGATAGAAAGAGGGAGATAAAACTTTTCTTCAGATGGATGTGGTTCGTACTGATAACGTATAATAAATATGTGTGTGTGTATATATATATATAGAATAATATTAAGTGAGATATCTTAGAGAGATAGAGATAGAGAGAGAAACGGAGATACAGAGAATGAAAAGAGAGATGAAAAGCTTTCATTCATATATCTCAAACAAAGATGCATATAGCCTTTTTATAGGCTATTTACACGAAGCTTCCCAAATAAGCCTTTATAATGCTTTCACCGTACGCCTCTGCAATCTTCCCTTACAAGCTTCATTGTGATCTCATGGATTACATAATCCATTGTGGACCCTACACACTTTTATATATACAAGACAAAAGATAATGTGTGAGCAAAGGAAAAACAGAGTATTTATTTACTGTATGGAATTATGGACCACTTAAAAGCAGATTACATATTTCACTTAAAATACAATAGGCTTCAGTCTCAAGCCCACACCTCTTTATTATACCAAGAATCATGAATATCTTTTACTTTGGGGCTTCTCAATCCAAACACTCTTGACTTACTTCCTTGATTCTTATTGAAGGATTGTTTGTAAATCAATAAGCACTGGATGAATGGTTTTGAAGTTAAAAGACAAATCTACTTTGATAACAGTTAGTAATAGATTTTCGATGCAAATGAATTTCCATTAACAAGAGAAACACATACTAAGTCACTCGTGTGTGTGTGTGTGTTCTAAAATTTAAAAAAATCTCTCAAAATTACTCAATGGCTTTCTTAGATTAATTGCAATAGGCGTAATGACTTTGAGATCATTATGAGAATATATAGGTGTTTAGATAAACCTAGAAATAGAACGCAACCGGTTATGTTTTTACTGAGAGTTACTTTTCACTTGAGAAAAGTGTATCGGGTTGTATTTTTATAGAGAGTAAAAACACAACTGTTTTAACCAAAAGTTTACAACTCTCAATGAAAACATAAACCTTAAAATGCAAAATGTGTGTTCTCACACGTTTCCACTTCCAACATCGAGACTCAAAGGAAACAAAAAATTACAACTCGACACATTTTTTTATATTGAAATATGTCAATTACATTTTATACTTCATAAAAAAAATAATTTATGCATTTCACAATTGTTTGAAATCGCAGTCATGTGCGTTGTTTATTTCGCATAGCACATCTCGACTTATGGCTTGATTTGTATGAGATTTACTATCATAAATCGAGATATTTATATTTATTTATGCATTATAAATACGTAATAATAAAATTATAATTTCTTATGATTATGTTTTGTGTCTAATGTTTCACACAAATATTATAACATGAATCGATCACAGTTGACACATTAATTTTATGTCAACATTTATTCACTTTATTTCGTAGCTAATGTGACAGCCTGTGCATGTGCCACTCGATCCAGCAGCAGACATAAGTGGACCTATATCAGCTACGTATATAAGGGGTACCCTCCTGCACCTTTATATATATAACCCATTACCAAGCATTAACACTTGTATAATTTGTATCTTGGAAGCATATATATACCCTAGAGAGAGAGAGACAGAGATGGCCGCCAATAACAAGACTCTGAGTGCCTTGCTCTTGGTTGCCTTCATACTGATGATGGTGATGGCTTCTGCAGCAAGGCCTGGTAGTGTTGCCAAGTTTACTATAAAATCTATTTACGATTGCTTTCAGGAATGCATGGCAAGTTGTCATCCTGATCTTGATTGTCCACTTATTTGTGCCGAAGAATGTGGCTTTGGCTTAGTTTCTGGACTGCCTACTTTCTTTGATGTTGTGTTGCGTGACTTGCGTTATTAAATCATATATATATTCTTGAAATTCAGAGAAAGAATGAGAATCAAAACTCAATTCAATATTATTCACAATGACTTTACATTCAATTTATAGAATAATACGTAGCTAAAATAGGTAACTAATTATACAATAATTGGAAAACTAATTACCTACCAATTAGTCCTAAATTAAGGAGTAAATAATTCAATTTACAACTATACAATCCTGAATTACCAGAGGTAAAATCTCAACACTCCCTCTCAAGTTGGTGCATAGATGTTACATATGAACAACTTGTCTAAAATTTTTGAAAACACTTGAGTTGAGACTGCTTTGGTGAGAATGTCGACTAGTTGATTCTCAGATCGAATCTTAGGTAACTCTACAATTTTTCCATCCTACTTCTCTTTAATGAAGAATCTGTCTATTTCGACATGCTTCGTACGATCATATTGAACTGGATTATGGGCAATATCACGTGCTGCTTTATTGTCACAATATACTCGAATCGGTTGCCTTGGTAGATAATCCAAATCCCGCAAGAGAAGTCTTAACCATAAAGTTTCATAAAGTCCAAGCGCCATACCTCTGAATTCAGCTTTTGCACTTGAGCGAGCAATAACATTTTGTTTCTTGCTTCTCCATTTAACAAGATTACCGCCTATAAAAGTGAAGTAACCAGAAGTAGATCACTTATCATCTATAGCTCCAGCCCAGTTAGCATCGGTATATGCATCTATGTTTTGATAACTAGCATTTTTAGTGAACAAAATTCCTTTTCCAGGAGCAGATTTCAGATACCTCAAAAAGCGCATAACTACATTCATATGTTGCTCTCCAGGATCATGTATAAACTGGCTAACAATGTTCAATGCATAAGCCAGATCCGGTCTCATGTGTGTTAAGTACATCAATCTCTCTACAAGTCTTTGGTATTTTCCTTTATTAGCAGGTACTCGGTTGGACTCAACACATAACTTCAGTCCTTTTTCCATTGGTGTTTTAGCTGGTTGACAAGTTGTCATGCCAGTCTTTTGCAATAGATTTAAGGCATATTTTCTTTGAGATAGAAAGATTCGATTATTAGATCAAGATACTTCGATCCCAAGAAAATATCTCAAAGGACCTAGATCTTTCATTTCGAATTCTCTGAACAAGTACTTCTTGAGAGTCTTCATTTCTTCAAGATCATTCCCTGTAACCACCATGTCATCTACATATACAATGAGTGCAGTGATCTTACCCTATTATTTCTTTAGGAATAATGTGTGGTCTGAATTGCTCTGATAGTAGCCAAAGGCTATCATTGACTTTGTGAATCTTCCAAACCATGCTCTCGGAGATTGTTTCAACCCATATAACGATTTCTTTAACTTGCAGACCTTTCGACTATACTTTTCGGGTATCATGCATCCTGGTGGGAGATCCATGTAGACTTCTTCAGATAATTCACCATGCAGAAAGGCATCTTCACATCGAATTGTTGCAATGGCCAATCCAAGTTCGCAGCTAAAGACAACAAGACCCGAACTGTGTTGATTTTAGCTACATGTGCGAACGTCTCTGTGTAATCGATTCCATAGGTTTGGGTGTAACCTTTTGCCACCAACATTGCTTTAAAGCGTTCAACTGTGCCATCAACTTTATACTTCACAGAGTAAATCCATCGACATCCTACTGGTTTCTTTCCTGGTGGAGGATTAATGAGTTCCCAAGTTTTATTTTTCTGTAAGGATTGCATTTTCTCTTTCATAGCTGCTTTCCACTTAAGATCAGCTAAGGCTTTATGCACACTGTTAGGAATAGATATAGTAGATAATTGATGTACAAATGAAAATTTTGATTTTGACAAATGATGGTTCGACACATAATGACTCATGGGATACTTAACTTTACTAAAAAGTTCAAGTTCATATGCGGGTTTAGAAATACCTCTAGTGTGATGCTGTGGTAATTGTTTTTGGAGTGGCTCAGGCACTAATTCAGGAACATCCTCAGCAGACGATTGGTTTGATATATCAGTTGCGAGGGATTCAAACTCAGACGATAGTGGGATTGGCACCATACTTTCCATTTCTGGCGTTCATCACCACTTTGATCCAACTGTGTATGGGTCTGGGTATTTCAAGGCTAAATTCAAAGAGAACAAAAAATTCAAAGAGATCAAAAAATTCAAAGAAATCAAAAAATACGGTTCAATGATGGCTCTGATACCATATTGAAATTCAGAGAAAGAATGAGAATTGAAACTCAATTCAATATTATTCGCTTTACGTTCAATTTATAGAATAATACCTAGCTAAAATAGGTAACTAATTATACAATAATCGGAAAACTAATTACCTACCAATTAGCCCTAAATTAAGGAGTAAATAATTCAATTTACAGCTATATAATCATGGATTACCATAGGTAAAATCTCAATATATATATGTATCTGTGTGCGCGCACGCATGTATGAGTGTGCACCTGCTAAAGTCTGTTTTCTTTCGTTGTCTTCTGTTGCTGTATATATTTAGCATCATCATTATATGGAATTGCTTGATGTTATTCCATATATATAAAAATAAAAGGGTAAAGTACACTAACACCCCTCCAAGTTTGGTATAAGGACAGGTAGAGGAAAGTTGTCCAATTTTTGGACAATCACACCCCCTTAAGTTTGATAAAATAGACAAAGACACCCCGACAATGGTGAATTGACTTCATTACCCTTTGATATAAAATTAACAAAAACAATTGACTCAAATACCCTTGAATCAAATGCCCCTTTGTCTCTCTCCT